GAGAGAGAGAGAGCGAGAGCGAGCGCGAATGAGAGAGAGCGCGCGTGCGAGCGTGAATTAGAGCGAGAGCGCAAACGTGATTTAGTGACAGCACGAATTAGAGAGAGCGAGCAAGCGCCAATGAGAGCGCAAGCGAGCGCGAATGAGAGAGCGCGAGCGCGAGAGAGGACGAAAGCGTGAAATAGTGACAGAATGTGAATTCGAGAGAGAGCGAGCGAGCGTGAATTAGTGACTGAGAGCGCAAACGTGAATTAGAGAGAGAGCGCGAGCGTGATATAGTGACAGAGCGCGAGAGCGAGCATGAATTAGTGAGAGAGAGCGTGAATTTGAGAGAGAGAGACAGCGTGAGCGTGAATTAGTGACAGAGAGTGTGAGCAGAATTTAGAGAGAGGGTGCGAGCGTGATTTAGAGAGAGAGAGCAAGCGTGAATTAGTGACAGAGAGAGAGCAAGCGTGAATTAGAGAGCGAGCCTGAATTAGAAAAAGTGAGAACACGTGAATTAGAAAGAGGGAGAGCACGTGAATTAGTGAGAGAGACAGCGCGAGCGTGCATTAGTGACAGAGAGAACGCAAATTAGAGACAGAGTGTGAATTAGAGAGAGGGAGAGACAGCGAGGTGAATTAGTGAGAGAGAGCGAGCATGTGAGCGCGAATTAGAGAGCGAGCGAGAATTAGAGAGCGAGCGAGAATTAGAGAGCGAGCGAGAACTAGAGACAGCGAGCGCGAGCGTGAACTAGAGACAGTGAGAGCGCGAGCGTAAATTAGTGAGAGCGCGCCAGCGTGAGTTAGAAAGAGAGAGAGAGCAAGCGTGCATTAGTGACAGAAGAGAGCGTGCATTAGAGAGCGCGAGCGTGAATTAGAGACAGAACACAGTGCGAATTAGAGAGCGCGCGAGCGTGAATTAGAGACAGAAGAGAGCGTGAATTAGAGAGAGCGTGTGAATTAGTGAGAGAGCGCGAGCGTGAATTAGAGAGAGAGCGAGCGTGAATTAGAAAGAGAGAAAGCGCCTGAATTAGTGAGAGATAGCGTGAGCGTGAATTAGTGACAGAGAGCGAGCGAGCGTGAATTAGTGACAGAGAGAGAGCGCGAGCGTGAATTAGAATGAGAGAGAGCGTTTGAATTAGAGACAGAGAGAGCGAGCATGAATTAGTGAGAGACAGTGCGAGCATGAATTAGTGAGAGCGCGCGAGCATGAATTAGTGAGAGCGCGCG